GGGGGACCAACCTTCGTCGCATGCAAACACAAGTTACGGCTAGAGTATTCCCCACTTATATGGATACACATAGTCAGCCACATGTGCGAGTCGTTTAATTCGTTGGATAACGGCCGTCAAGGCGAAGTCGTCTTCGCAGTCGCAGTCGCAGCTACTTTTGCCACGAGGCTATAAGCAGCATTCAATCCACCCACCCACCTGCCCGCTCATTGCTATATCCAACACACACACACACATAGGGTCACACTTGAACATTTGTCATGCCCATAATAAAGTACAGCGTAAAAGCTTTTGGGGTTGCGCTGCTCTTGCCTCTTCTGCATTTATCCTTCTAGCTCTGTCTCTCTCGCTCTCTCTCTCTCTCTCTCTCTCTCACTCTCTTCTACGTTCACTCTCCCAATTCCAGCCAGGCAATCGCGTGTCCAGGCAGCAACAACGACAAATTCCACCCAAAGCCGCAGTCGCGTCAGCAGACCAACAACAAGCAAAGAGAATAACGAGAACCGTTTTAGTTTCTTTTTGTTTCTGCTACTGTTTTTTCGATGATTCGTTACATTTTTTTTGGAGGCAACTCTCACACAACAAAAGCGAGTGGACGACAACAGGGCAACCAGCTCGAAGTGTTGCCAAATGCTCTCTGATAAGGCCCATTGCAGTCGCAAGTGAACCCATTTTGTCGCAGCGCTTCCGGTTTCAGTATTGTTAAGAGCTTTGCGTTAGTTTGTAAATAATATGTGCACACACATACAAATACATATATATATATGTGCATGCAGAGGGAATAACGGTCCTTTCCTTATGCCAACTGCCTGTAGCTGCAGAGCGAACAGTTATCTTTTTTCATTCTTTTTCTTTGTATCGGGTATACGAAATACCCTTTAACTTAACAAATATAAACTGGTTTTTAGGTAAAGCCTATTTGAGATCCTCCATTCTACTAATATACATGTACATACATATGTACGTACCCATATATGTATATTCAATAATTACAATCAAATTTGAAAAATATGAATATGTATGGGTATGTGTAAAAATTTCCAACAATAACTATTAATCGTTCATGGGCTCGCAAGGGTCTAAGTAGAGAAATATAACAATTCGCATTAATTTTGCTATTTATTAAATTTTACATACGTTCATGCAGGAACGCTTACATTTAATTACTATTTTGTAAGCAGACAGACAAACAATTAAATCTAATTAAAAGAGCTAATTAAAAATGTTTTGTAACTCTGGCCCGACGAAAACGAGACCAGAAAGCAGAAGGAACACAAAAAAAATGCTGCCTCACAAACAAAACGAAAATGTACAAAATGCAATGGAATATTGTTTACCGTTAGCAGTGACGGCGACAGCGACAGCGCGTTACAAATAAGCACCCAACGAAACAATTGGTATTGCAGAGCAAGAGAGAAAGCAATACGCATAGAGTGGGAGGCGTTGAGGTCCAGTTTGGGGGCTTTGTCAATTCGCACTCATCTCTAGTATTTGCTATTGCTGCAGCTGCAGCTGCAGCTGCACAACATAAATTCAATTGTTACCAATATTTTCAAAACGTGGCCAACGGCAAGAACAACAACAACAACGGCAGCAACAGCCGCATCATCAATACCGACAACAGCAAATTCAATTTTCATTTATCCATCGGCTCATCTATCCATCTATTCGACTGCATATTTGTGTCTCTTTCTGTCCCCATTTGGCGTGTGATTTTTTGCACTTTCAGCTTTGCAGTTCAAAAGTGTTTGTGTATGAGTGAGAATGCGTGTGAGTACGCCAAAAACAAATAAAATGTGTGGCTGTGCATTACAATACAGGAGGAGGAGGATAGCTATGCCCACCTTTCCAAACCCAATATCCAATTAGTGGGCAGCCCCAACTGACATCAGTCAGAGCCAGTTTTGATTCCCACTCTCATTGTTCCAACGGGCCTCACAACGTTTGGTTTTTATGGCCTCTCGATGCTACTGTTGTCGTTGTTGCTGTCTGCATTCGGCATTTGCCATTTTGTGTCTTGTTGTTGTGTCCCGAACTCTTCGCTTACGCTTATCTGCCATTAAACGACGCTGCTGATGGTGCTGTTGCTGCGCTGCCCTCAACTGCACTGCTGTGCTCTGCTTTGCTTTTGCTTTTGCTTTAGCTTAAACATTCGTCGTTTCGATTTCGGTTGCCCGATGCCGTCGCCGTCGTCGTCGCCGTCATTCCCGTTCCCATTTTGTACCCGCGCGCATCTCTCGAGTGGGAGCCCAAGGTGCAACATTGGCAACGGGCCTGGGCTTGGGCCAGCCAGACGCGCCGTGAAACAAATGCCAGGCACTGCTGCCAATCGCACTCGTAAGCATACACAAACTCTCTCACTCACACACTCTAGCACACGCACACATACATAAATAAACACATATGTATGTATGTCTGTGACGCTTCTGCCGCAGCCATCGCCACCTGCCATTTGGGGGCGCAGCATTTGTCGCCATTTATTTACACGATTAGAAATCGATTTTATGCGTTTGGATAATATTTCAAATGTACAGAAACACATACGTATGTACAACAATAGACATTGTGTGTGTGTGCGTGTGTACATATGTGCATAAAATGTATTGGTCGTCATTAAAATGATTTATGTCAAACATATCGAAATGAGGGTTGCGATATGTGTGCGTGTGTAGCAAGGCGTATCACCCCCATAATTATCTTCAAAATGCTAGCAACCAACTTAAAAAATAACACAAACAAAACAACTTAACTAAAAATTATTATATTATCAATTAAGTTAAGCCGTACGGCTAATTAGCGCAAGCGCAAGCAGCGAACCGTCAATATGCAATAATGCTCAAGTACAATCAAAAAGCTTAAGAACTGAATACAAAGTAAGCTCGCGCTAGCCCTGCAATGGCTATTCGACATGCTTAGTCACTCACAGAAACAAGTTAAAGCTAATTGATTAATAATTTTCGAGCGAAAAAAGCTTAGGCATACGATTAAAACAACTACAATAGAACATTTCCAGTCTAAGCAATGAGTGGGGGAACTGTGAGATTGGACCGTAAAAGAAACGCAAAAAAAGATGGCAAAATCCAAATTCAATCCACTTCGTGGCATTGTGTGCTACGTTCACGTCTGTCTGTTTGTCTGCTCGACATAGGCCAAATACTAGATGCCATATAACAACTACAATACACCCACATTGCCAATTTTAACACACATGCACAAACACACACACTGCAAAGTTCGTGAGCAAATCTCAAATTAAAGCAAACAGAGTCAACGACGACGCAGCGTCGCTGTTGTAGCCGACGTTCCTCTGCGTTGATGGATTGTAGCCCACAAACATACACACGCAAACAAACACACACATTTATATATATATATATATATATATATATATATATACTTATACATATTTATACACATGTATGTATACACACTCACGCATAGCTACGACGGGCCGAGAAAAATACAATCCAGTGGAATCGTTTGGCCGGTGACTCTTTCGGCTTGTCTTATGCTCCTTGGTCGCCTCCCTCTCTTTCAGTCAACTAACTCACGTGAATGTGTGTGTGTCGTGTGCCAATGCTCATGGCGTTCACTGTCCCCGAGACCAAAAAAAAAAATAACAAAACAAAAAATTACATACTCTGCGGAACGAAACGAAATGAAATAGAAGGCAAAACTCTGCTACTGCTACTGCTGCTGGTACTCTTCTTTTTCTTTGGTATATAATTTCTACCATTTTTTTATTGTTTGGGGCGGTTTATGTTGAAATTGCTTCTCACATTTCGTCCCTCAAGAATCCGTTTCAATCTCTCTGTTTTTAAGGTGTTTAATTTATGTGACCTCCACCCCCTTTATTGCGTATTTTTTAGAGAAAAGGGACATTTCTAGTTCCGTTTCTCTTGTGCAATTTTGTTCCATTGTTGTTGTTTCGCCTCAGAGAACAGCAAAATTCTGTTCCTCCCCACAAGGGAACGAAAAATAGCGAGCCGGCAAAAAAAATGCGAATACGAATAGAAATTGTGCGTAACACCCCACATTTTGGGGTAAAATTTGGTGAGCAATACGGCCAAGTTGATGTCTTGCAGAAAAACTTTACCTGTGTCAAGTAAAACTCTGCTCGATGACTGCTGTTGCTTATCGCTGTCCTCGCTTTGCTGCGCACTTTCGTATTTTGTTTGTCTGCTTTTCTAACACACTCACACAGAAACGAAATTTGGCGATTGCGTAGCTTTAGGCCTGCCCGCAATTCCCATTTGATTTTCATCTGCTTTCCCTTTTTTGGCAAACAATTTTATATGCTCAATTCACCTATTCCCCTTATTTTTGCCCGCACTCACATATACAAATTCGCGTGCACACGCATATGCACACATGCACACGTCGATTCGGGGCAATAATTTTCGCCGTGGGCGTTTTTCTTCACATTTGCTTTTCAAAAATTTTAATTTTCCACTTATGCCGCTACAACTGTTACAAGTGCAGCCGCCCACAATGATAAACGTGCATCACTTTACGACAGTTTTCACTGCACATAGTATGTATAATTTTTGAACTGAAAATAAGGCTTTGAATTCGCAACACTTTTCGCACTTTCCACTGCCGTCAACAAATTCGCGCGTGAACCGCACAACAACCGAAACGAAAATGAGCCCATGCAATAATGTGGCAACTGAAATGAAGTGGAATCGGGTGCCTTCGACGTCGGCAGCGCTGCCCAAAAGAGAGCGTGACTGAGCTGACTTTTGAGTGCAAGCCTAAACACACCTGAACATTGTTTTTTGAGTGTATTTCACATAATAAACAAAATAATTAAAAAAATAAACAACAAGCTGCTCAGAAGAGTTATTAATATTCTAAATTTTCTCAATTCTTTAACTTATGTGAGTGCAAAAATTACTTGAGTTTGAATGTGAGCCGACTTTGAGTGGAATCAGTCCAACATTGTCTCTTTCTTCTTTTTTTAATTAAGTGTTTCACAAATAAGGCAACTTAAAAACAACTCAGTTCAAAAGGCACTCAATAACGCTTGAGACTTTATTTAACATGGGTCTGTTAGCTCAGTTAACATGAGTGGAACAAACTGTTGAACTGCTTAACTCAAGCTTTGCACTTCAAATTTGAGTGGATTTCGGTGTCAATTCGAATTTTCCAATAAGTTAATTACACCCGATTATATAGTCTTTATATATACTGTATCTCGCGCCATCTTCGATTTGGTCTTTTCTTTTACAGATTAAATACCAGTTAACAATGCGATAGATAAACAAAGCACTTAAAAGTTAAACGTCAGGGGATGCACCGCAAAGTAGCCTTTGCTCTTGGCCACCTGCTTGGAGAGCCGCAGCAGATTGTTATCGTTGTTCATATAGTTGCCATTGTGGATTTCCATGGCAAGGCGCAGCACATCGTCGCGACCCTGTGAGCAAATGGCCGTAGCGGTTAGCATTTCGTGATCCGCCAAGGGCAGGCCAATGCAATAGGAGCGAGAGGCGCGTGCAATGCTCGCCCACATGGCATAGATGATGGTCGAAATGTTCGCCAGGCGCTGCAGCTCGTTCTGCCGTTCCACAATGGCGTTGCCATGCCGCGTGAACAGCAGCTCCACGGCCATGTGCAGGCGCGCCACCGAGTGCTCGATGCATTGGGCCGGTGCCTCGAGTGTGGGATGCACATGCTCTGCCAGCTGCATGTTCGTCTTGGGATTCTCCACACTGGCTGTGCTGAGGAATTTGCTAAATATCTGTCCGGGATTGAAGAGTGGATTCCGCAGCTTGCCCACGCCCTCGTTCATGCATTTCTATTGATAGAGCGGGAATTGATTGGTTTGCTCCAAATGGTTTCACCGAATACTCACGCCGGCATGCTGCAGTCCAGTCAGCGCTATGAACATACTCAACGTGGTCAGCGATTCACCCTGCGTGCACAATTGAGCAGTGTCCCTTAAGACCAGCTCGGCTGGCTGTCCGCTGTGCAGACTCGCGGGTCCCAGAAGGCTCAAATTCTGTGAGGATATCGCGTACAGCTGCTGCAGCGTGTAATATTTCGTAATTGCAGTCTCCAGCGTCACGTCCTGACCGCGAAACTCGTCCATCATGCCAGCCGTCAGATAGAGCATGCTCTCCATGGCGTATATGGAGCACATTGCCTGTGACAGGTTGACTCGGGTCAGCTCCAAATCTCTACAGTAACAAGATTTTTTTAAATGAACAGATGCCCAAAGGATACTCCTACTCTTGCTCCACTTACTTGATCTGAACGCCGCCTTGTGTCGTCTCCACGCTGAACTTGGTTAGCTGATTTAACAGCCGCTTGGACAAGCCGATGCCCAGCAGGCTGCTGCGCAGTCGGCTGAAGCGCACCAGCTGCTCCGAGTGGCGATTGCCTTCATAGGCCTGGCCCAAGATTTGCTGAGTGCTCAACTGCACCTGGTCGAAGTGAATGCGCCGCATGACCGCCTCCCGGCAACCGAATGTGGCATGTGTCTCACCCAGACGCACGCCTGGCTGCTGATCATCGACTAGAAATAATGTCAGCTCCCGCCCCATGTTACCCGGCACGTTTGTTTTATTCGTCTGTGCCAGCACAAGGAACAGTTGACGTGCGCCAGCTGGAGCCACAACGACGAATGCCTTTTCGCCGCTGAGCAGCCAGGTTTTCTTGTCCAGATCGTAGACGGCCTGGGTGCCGAATAAGTCGTCTTCGGGCGGTGTGTACTCGAAGATGGCATCACTGGCTATTAGCTTGCCGCTGGCCAGTGCTGACATGTATTTCTGCTGCTGCTCCGGTGTGCCCAGCTCCCGCAGCATGTCCACCACAATGCGATGCGACTGCAGGCCGAGCGCCAAGCTCGTGTGGCTGGACTCTGGTTCACTGGCTATGAGACTGGCGCTCCAGCTGTACCCCTTGCCGTCGTAGTCTGTGGGCACGTTCAGGCCATAGAGACCGAGCTGTTGCAGATTCTCCAGCGAGTGCGGCTGCTTTTGCTGCTCCTCTGCAAAGTAATTCTTTACCGGCAGCAAGGCGTTTTGCAAGCTGGCCATTTCCTCGCGTGCTATGACTTCTGGATACCCGAGCAGCTCCTTGTCCGTTAAGCCCACAAAGAGGTTCTTTGCCAGCGGTTCACGTGCCGGCAGCCCTTGTTGCTCTGCGGCGCTCGCCTCCTCCGGTGCATGACTGTCCTCTGCCCATTGCTGCGCATTGACGCTGCTACTGCTGTTTGTGGCCGCCTTGCTACCTGCGCTGCGCGCTAGCAGAAATGTTCCGCATTTATTGTGATTTTGATTTAATATTCTAACAGCACGCGAAAACAAATGGTAACGCATCTCGAATTAGGTAATGTGAACGGACAATAGAGATGGACAATCTTAATTAATTCTTATTCGATAGTAACGAGTAACTGATAGCGCTTACTCGCAATGCGGTATTTTTATGCGTCTTTTTTAGTTTATTGCAGCACATTTTGAATAAGTTATTGTAAACTTGCCTTATTCGATAGTTGCACATAACTGGAATTGCATATTTAAGATATTGCAGTTCGCTTACGGGCAATTGCTATTTATTTTTATGTGCACAATTCAATGTCAACATATCGATTGTATTGTAAATCGATAATTATGGCGAGCGTTTATTTAATTGAAATTACATTTCTGATGTTGAGATTTCAAAAATATTTTGAGAACACATGCTTCTATAATAACTTATATGTATTAATAATTCTAACAATTCAATTCAGTTTTACTCTCTCTACTTGTAGCGTATGTTCATTTTTATCATTAGTAATTTCCTCAGGGAATCCCATCTTTACAGCAGACTTATACAAGTTGATCTGGAGTTTATGCCTTTGTTCACTCGCTCCGATCCAAGCATATGCTTGACTCACAGCATCCTTAGTTATAGATGGACAATTGTTCACATAGATGGCTCGCAGTTGTGGCAGTCCTTTTATCAGTTCCAAAAATTTCTCGTTAGTTATCCAGGGCATCGACATGTGAAGCTTTTCCAGCTGGTGCAGCTTACAGAGCTGCTCAATAGGTATTTCGGCACAGAAGATGTCCAGTTCCTTTAGGCTGGCGATGTTGCAAATGTGGTGCATTTCCTGGGCACTCAGCTGCGCACCCCGCAGCACAAGCCCTTCCAGCTGCAGTGGAATGAGGCTTTCCAACAGCCTGGAACGCGAGGCGCACGCATCGGTACGCAGCCACAGATGCTGCAGCTGGCTCAACTGACTGGTAAGCTCTGGGCACAACAACACTTTATAGAAGGCGAATCGTTCCAATTGCTTACAGTTCCGCACGATGATCTCGAAGTGGCGCCTGTAGAGCTGTTCGAACGCATGACCACGACTGTATTTCACATAGCTTTGCACTTGGTCCCCGATCAATTGTAGCAGTTGCTCCAACTCCTCAGCGCTTAGGTTTTGAATTAACTTTTCGTCCAAGTGCTTATAGCGTCGTTTTGCATAGTTTCTAAAGATGCCGAAAAGTCTTTTGCTAACCTGTGCCAAGCGCACTTGGCTGACTACATCCAGATAAGATATTACTAGCTCCCAGCAGGAGTCACTCAATCCCGTCTCGAAATCACATTTGGCGCTGACATTACCCATTTGTTGCTGCTGTCCGGCATGAGACGCGCCCGCTGACTGAACTAGCGGTCAACCTTAGCGTTTCAGAAGTGATAACAATACTTGCACATTGGAATTGGGGATTCACCGCAAAAGAATTTGGGGAACGCACAATTTGAAATGCTTGAAAGCAATGGATGGAATGGAACGTATGAAATGGAATTTGAGCTGTGAGAGCGCACGGTTTGAAATTTGAAATTGGAACTAATCTTCGCTGAGAGCGCGCAGTTGGAATTTATATATACAACTTGCAATTGACAACAGAGATTAATAGACTTCATGGTATTTAATTAAAAGTGATAATCTTCCTTTCATAATGGCCATCATTTTAAATAAGAAATGAAAGCATTTTCTACATTTGGATTAAAAACACAAAACCCTTTATTTGATTCATTTTGTATATTGGTGTTATATAATTGCTATTGACTGGGCACATTAAGCTCTCTACTTAAAACAGTTAAACGAATAAAGAAACATTTGTTTTTGTTTTAGTTTTAGTGTGTTGTGTATTCAAATTGTTCTTTTTTTCTTCTGTTAGTTTCACTTGTTTGTGTGGAACTGTTTTCTTTTTTGTATATTTTCTTTTTTTTTTTTTTGGTTTTTTTCTTTATTGTTGTTTTATTCTTTAATTTGTATACCACCTAGATTGAAAATTTGTTAATAGCGGTAGTTAGTTATACATAGTTATAGTCAGGTATCAATGGAAATAAGAGTTTAGTATTAGAATTTAACACAGTTGTAAGTATGTACACACGCAGACGTATATGTGGCACAGGTAGCTACGTACCCGCACCTATATCATGTACACTCCGTACACACACACACTAACTATAGCGTTATTATTGAAGTACAGTTGTGCTTGAAAGTTGCTCGATTCAATTACGAGAACATATATACAGAGAATATATATTTATATATATATGTATCTACTTGGCAAATGTTTCAAGCAAGCAAGAGTTTGAAAAAAAAACAATCAAACAAAAACAAACTAATTACCACTTAAATTGCATTTGTTGTAATGAACAAAAAACAAACAAACTGAATTTGTTTAATTGTGTTTAACTAAAGGTCTATATATGTTATAGAAATACCTCAATGTCAAACAGCTCATATCGTATCACAGGCACGCTTTCAAAAAACTCACTGAATACAAAAGAAAATGAATAAGAAATTTAAGAAATTTAAACAATCGAGAAATTCGCAAAGAACTCAATTTCAATTTGATCTGAACAATAGACTGAATCCAGGCTTGCAGATCGCACGCTACGCTAACAACAACGATCGATATGAGCTGGACTCGCACACACACACTCACTCACACACTCATACAAGCACAAGTCTCCAAATTTCACACTTCTATAGATGCTCTACTCTACACACTCTACACACATATCAAGAAATTTAGTCAAGTTGCAACTCTAAGCGAGTTGCGAAATCAGTGTGAAAACATTTTCGATTTACACTAACTCTAAAAATCTTCAAAGTGTGATAAGAATTTGAATAGACGATAAATTTGATAAGGCCATAACTTAAGCTGAGATATTTATGGTATTCTAGATTTAACTCTGCTTCAACGCATTTCTCGTGTTAGCCAGATCTGGTTTACAGGTAAACAAAATAGATAGAAGTTGCCTGCATCCATGGCATACATTTGGTAAGGGCAACTGATAGATACCCTATTGTCGTTGCCCTCTTTGATAAGTTCATTCACTCACACTCACTTTTCATTCATTCGCACTCATTTCTATATTCGTATTGCATATGATTTGTTGTAACTACTTCTTAGTATTGCTATGCGGAGCAGCTTCTGCAGCTGCTCCTGCCCGGATCATAGTCCGGGACGAGAGTTAGCTGCCCTTATTAATGTGGACCTCCAAGGATTCAGTGTAAATTGAGATATTTCTTTTTTGTTTTTTGTTTTTCTTTGTTGTTGTTGTTGGCCCCTTCACAAACAGAGATAGAGTTAGAGATAGAAAGAGTTGTGTTTTGCTGTACATCGAAATGTTCTCTTTGAAATTTAAACTAGAGGCCTTAAAGTGACTTAAACAGACGGTTCATAGGGCTGGGCAGGTAGGAGTCGTTAGAATAACTAATGAAGCAGTGTGTAATCGGAAATTTGTCTCGATTTCCGCTGTTAAGGTTGCCTATAGTTGATATTTGGGACATTGCTGCCAGAGTTGCCAGCGCACCTGCAGCTGCTTCCACAGACGTCGCATTATGTCGCCGCCGGCGCAACAGTTGCTGTTGACACATGCCACGCCCAGGACATTCAGCAACTACTAAATCTTGCCGGGACTCTCCTGTCGCGCACTGTATCGCGGCTCCTGCGGCATCAGCGTGTCCGTCACCAGCTCATTGGGCGCCTCCACTAGGCCCTTGGCATGTGCCGCCGCCGTATCGCAATCCGTTCGCCTCGAGATCAACAATCGAATGTCCGTGTGTAGCGACAGACGACCCGATCGAGATGTCTGGAATCTGTAAGCCACAGAGATACAAAATTTCAATACGTTATTGCATTTTTTAATTGAGCTTAACCCAATCTCTTCTCTCCCCTCCCAAGGCAACTTCATTCCGTTCCCTCCATTCATCAATCTTCACCCTTTCTCCCACTTCCTTATCACTGACCTCAGGTGGATGGAGTAGCGCAGTCGCTTCATCTGCTCAGCGCTTATGAAGTGGCCCAATTTGCTGGTGGTGCTCGTCGCTGTTGGGCTGCCCGGCTCCCGTTCACGAGCTTTTGGCTGTTGGTTCTGCAGAACGATGCTCCCGACGCAGGGACTCGTGCCTGGTAGCTCATCGGCCAAGATGCGCTGGCGTATGAACGTGCGATGCAACGGCGGCATATCGCGCATGTCGTACGGAATGACAAACATACGCACCACTGTGCCCATGGGATTCAGCAGCGTGGCCTGCACAGTGCCCGATCGCGGCACAAAGTAGCCTTTGCGTGGCAATCGAATCTCGCACTGTAATGAGAGCCAAACAGAGGGTTCATTTAGTTTAGTCATTCACATATAACAAGTCGGGGTTACGCACCAGGTAGGGCGTGCTGAGCGTCTCGCCGTGCAGCTCATAGAAGTAGGAGGATGCCGGAATGGTTAGCTGTGTGGGACAAAAGCCGCCCGAAGCGCCCAGCTGTAGGCGAAAGCCTGCGACCTCGATCTTGGGCAGCAGCCGCTTTTGCAGCAGCGACTCCTCCAAATTGCCCAGCAACGGTCGCCCCCCAAACTGGGTGGCTAGACGCGCACGTGACTTCAGTGGCGAGCCCGCCGGACTGCACATGCCCGACTCGAGATCCTCGTCCGACAGCTGCTCATCGGAGCCCAGCGAGCTGCGATCCGAGCGATCGCTCAGATGTCGTGAGCGTCGCTTATAGAATGCCGCCTGCTTGGCAAAGCGCGGCGACACAGACAGCGCGTTGGGCAACGTTGGCGCCGAGTACGATTTCTGCACGGGCAAATTGGCAGCAGCTGCTTCCGGTGGCGTCAATAGCGACTGCGACTGAGACTGCGACTGCGATTGGGCATAGCTCAGTGCTGGCGATTCAAAGCAAAAGGCCACGCCGCTGTCAATCGTAATGGGCGCCGAGCAGCTGCTGTTGCTGTTGCTGCAGAAGATCGTTGTCAGGTTAACCTTGGGCACTGCCTTGCGCAGCAGCGGCGACAGCAGCGGCGGCGGCGTCTCCCTGTCCAGCATGGTACCATTGCAGTTAAGACGCAGCTGATTCGTTGCCTTGGCTGGCAGATTCGCCAGCTGCTGCTGCTGCTGCTGCTGGGTCTGAAACTCCTGCAGCTTGAGCGGCACATGACTGATGGGCGTCTTGAACTGCACCACAATGCGCTCATCCACATCTGTTGGCGTCTGACAGCGTTCCTGTCCAGCGTTCAATGTGCAGCGATCGATGTTGGGCGTCAGCTTCGTCGAGCCGCACTACAAAGACGAATGAAGAATGAATTAAGAACAGGCAAATGAATGGGAACTCGTTTGACTTACCACTGCCAGCTCCTGCTCCATGCTGTTGTCCTCGTCGTTGTCCACGCCGCTGCCGCCTTTGCTGTGCCCGTTCGTTCCATTCGAATGCAGCTCCGTTTGCTGTGGACCTCCGCCTTTGCCATTGGCAAAGTTGTGCTGCGTCTTTTGGCGCTTGCACACCTGACAGCCGCTGCTTGGCGCCGGCTTCAGCTGATTGTTGTTCTGATTGTTGCGACTCTGACCCTGAACTAATCCAACTTTGAGATCGTTACACGCTGCTCCTGCTCCAGCTCTTGCTGCTGCTGTTGCTTTTGGCATTGGCTTTCGGTTCTTTGGCGTGCGCTGTATGGCCTGCAGCAGCAGCTCGGCCTTGCTGCGCGGCGTGCCGACAATGAGATCGGAGCTGCTCAGGCTGCAGCTGGATGTGTCCTCCATTTCAGAGGCACTTGTATCGTCTGCATCATCATCATCATCCTCGGCAGCTTCGTTACCGTGCCCACTGCCGCCTGGTTCGCAGTTGAGGCAGAGTAGCGTCTTCTCGCTGCCGCACTGCTGGCAGCTGCTCAGCGAGGTTTGCGTGCCCGTCGAGATCATTGCAATGCGACGCGGCGCTGTGAGCACTGTGAGCGCCATTGCTTGCGTTTGCGTTTCCTCGTTGCCTTCGTCCATGGGCTCCATGGACTCCAACTGCTCCGAGGGCTTGCGTTCACGTTTCTTGTCGCGTCGTTGCATTCGCTTGCGGTACTTTTGCAGCTGCTTCTCCCGATGCCCGTCCAAGTCATCCGTGTCGCCTGCCTCCTGCTGCCTGCCTCCATATTTATCACAGCTGCTTGCCGGCGGCGTTGTGCTAATGGCAATCCTTGCACCCAGCCCCGTGGGCGTGGCCGCGCACATGCCTCCGCCGCCAGTGGGTGTACTTGCCGCCGGCACAGGTCGCACTACACGCGGCTTGGACACCGATGGCGAAACGTGCGGCAGGCCGCCATTGAAGCGCGGCAAACTCTTCACGCAGACCGCAACGCTAAAGTTCTCGGCAATGTTGACGTGCGGAAAGTTGTGCACATTCGCCTTGGCACTGAAGCCGCCATCGTTGTGATTGCCATTGGCATTGCTGCAGCTAAGATCGTGTGGCCGGATTCTGTAGAAGATGTTGAGGCGCGGCCGTCGCATTCGAGCTGCTGCTGCTGCTGCTGCCGCCGCACCACTCGTCGAGCCACTGTGCCCGGCCAGATCACCAGCATTGCTGCTGTTGCCGCTCGCAAAGATGACGCGCCCGCTGTCATAGACCGAGGGATCGCATTTGCGCAACAGATCGCACCAGGCCACGATCTGTGAAAAGTAAAGCTGGCTTCGAATCGCGCTGCACAGCGACGGCAGCGTCATCGTCGGCGGCGGCACTCTGCAAGAATAGTCAAGATTAGCAACAGAACACTTCATGAGCCACGACTAGAGACTATGGAATAACCAAGGCAGACAGTTATAGGATCTCTCATCAGAGTACATACAGAGATAGAGCGAAATACAGGTTTAGCGCTGGATGTAATTTGAGCTGTGTCAAGGATGCGAAACCAGAAGCTAACAGGGATGGCTTATATGAGACAGGCTATATTCCCTCTACTTCAATAGGGATGGCTTATATTGGACAGGCTATATTCCCTCTACTTGAATACATAATCCAAATATGATCTAGTTTGGCTGCTACACATACTTCTCCTTGCCGCTAATGATCCATTGCTCCAGCAGAATCTTATGGCCGGCAGGGCCCAAGTAAACCTCGATGCAGACGGGCTCGCGGCGTGCTAGGATGGCCTCCATTTTCATACAGTGGGCACGCCAGCGGGAACACTGCAAGTAATGAGTTGTTAGTTGACATTAGCTAGAGAGAGATAGCGATAGCTTTAACTCACGGTTATATTAACGTAAGACATATCACAGATGTGTTCCTCGGTATCAGCGACAGACTCGCCCTTGGCGAGGCCCATCTTTCTGAGGAACTGATCACAGTGTGGCCCATGTTTGGGCCGTGTGGTGCAGCTGGAACTGGAACTGGAATTTGAACTGGTTCCGTTTCCAACTGCATTGTTGCTGGCAGTGGCTGTTGATGTGGCTGCTGCACCTACTACTCCTACTCCTACTCCTCCTCCTACTCCTAATCCTCCTCCTCCGCCTCCTCCTGCAGATCCACCGACAGATGTCGGCCTGCTGCAGTTGTAGTCCAGCAGGCTGGCCGCGCTGACTGTTGCTGTTGTTGCTGGCGAGCCAAAGCCCAGGCCCAGACCCAGGCTTAAGGGGCGCGTCTCGGTGGTCACAGCGGGTCCGCCTCGCAGACAGGTGGTTGCCAGCGATTGCAGCGAGTGTAATATGTTGTCAGAGCCAGAGCCCGAGCCTGGCGAGCTGCCAGCACTCGAGCTGTTGTTGGCCAGATGCTCACCAACTCCTGCTCCAGCGCCTACGCCTACTCCAACAGCAGCTGCGCCAACTCGATTCAACATGACGCGACGCACAATCTCGAAGTCGCCACGATCCGCGTTGAGGTCATTAATGGACAGCGCCACCAGCTCCGGTTCTGCGCTCATGCTCTGAGCCGCCGGCGACACCTGACGCAGCTGGCAGAGCTTTTGGGTCCAGCGTTGATGGGTGGCACTGCTGACGCTCGAGCTGTTGCTGCCGTTGCTGCCGCCGCTGCTGCTGCTGCTGCTGCTCTGTCCATAGTCACAGTTGTATCCGTATCCATATACATGTCCATATCCCTGCGCCTGACCATAAGCGGAGCGTGGCGTTCCGCTGGCCATTGTATAAGGATTCGTTGTTATGTTAATGGCTGCCCTTGATGTGGAGGGGCGTGGTGAATGGCGACCACTGCTCGACGCTGGCGTCAACTGTTGATGTTGCTGTGGCTGTGGCTGTTGTTGCTGTTGCTGTTGTTGTTGTTGTTGTTGTTGCTGGTACTCATCGTCAGATATGGGCCTGCCCTCCAGTATAAGCGAGGCCAGGCCCAGCACAATTGAATTGTAGTTGCTTTGTTGCGCTGCCGCCGACGATGCTGCTGCTACCGCTGCTGCAGCAGCAGCAGCAGCTCCGCCGACAGCAGCAGCTGCTGTTCCCCCGGCTCCATTCTGTGCCAGGCCAGCGGCTGGCGGTGAGTTGGTAACGCTTGTGGGTATCATGTGGTGGTGCTGGTAGTGCTGCTGCTCCTTCTCCTCCTCCACTCTCAACAGAATTCTCCTCTTCTCGCTTGTATACTTCTGCTGCGCCTACTGATTCTCTTCCCCTTTTAGATGTGGTTGTCGTCCTCTCGCACCTGCACCAGAAGTACACTACAGCAGAAAGAGAGCAAAAGGTTTGTGATTAGATGAGTTGTTCTATGGAACGGCTTATGGAAATGAACTAGTGAAATGAACTAGTCTGCCATGAACTCATTTCCAAGTTCTTCAACTTATGATTATGAGCTCAGGTTTTCATTTAAGTCAGTTATACACGAATAATGAACTAGATCCGAACTGTTGATTGGTTCATCCACTATAAATAGAATGAACTAAGTGAACTAGAAATGCAATAAGCATTAGCCAACTGAACTTATTCATGGAATTTGAACTTGAATCCCCAATTTTAGTGAACATATTGAAAAGCTGTTTCGAAAAAGATTTTTAAAATTTTTCTGAAAAATATTTAAACAAATTAACTTTACTGAATTTAATCAAACATCTGAAAACTATCCAAATTTATAAAAAGATCTTAAATTCATCAACTCTATCGCACAATCAGTTAGATTTACTCTCGCTTTACCAAGTGTTTCTCTACATTTACTTAAATTTTTGCATTTACTATCATACATAGTTTGAATATTGATTGCAATGGTGCCACACATACATCTGTCTATGTATATGAGAAGAGAAAAAAGTAAATAAAAATATATACGAAATGGCATTGGGAAAATGCAGCTTGAATGTCACCAGCTTTTGGATGGAAACTAGGTCAACAGAGGTACCCTGTATGTCAAATTGAATTATGCTGTGAAGGTCCCCCTATACAGACATACATATGTATACATTATATAAACTGATAGAAATTTACTTTGGCCTAGATCCTGAGGTTCTGTTGCATTTGCATTACATGCGTTTCGCTATAGACGACGACATACTAACACGGCCTCAAAAATGTGGCACCAAAAAAACCAGGCAACCAGGTCGTTACTTAATCAGGCAGCTGTTGCTATGTCAGAGAACAGAGCGAGTACAACAACAGTAAGCTAAAGAGAACCAAAGAGGGTGGAAGGCAACATGCATTTGGCGTTGTAGTTATTCAAACTGCCAGTAGTAACAGCACATGTTGCTAACGCTGTGACGTCATTTGATATAGCAGAAGCTCAGCTTAGTTCGCAACATGCAATTTTTTTCCATTTAAACACTTTGCAATGTTTCGAAGGTCAAGCAACAGAGGAATTGCAACTAAAAATTACTTAAGTCGCGCTTGGCAACAAATGCCCAATACAAATAGCTAAGAACAGCTGTTCAGTATTTGTGTTAAATTTTTTAAGCATGTGTTGCTCAACACACTGGCAACATGTTCTCAAAACCAACACAAATATCACAGAGCACATTTTCATCGCTTTCTGCCACTCTCTCGCTCTCTCTGTCTGTCGCTCTCTATGTCTCAGTCAACTGGTAAACATGTTTGTCTTTACTTTTGCTTTTGTTTTTGCGTTTCTTCTTGACCTGCATACACAATATATAACTAGCGCGCGAGACGAAGTCTACATTCCTGTATGTGTGTGTTTCTGTGTATAAACCTTACAGAAAGAGAGAGGATGCAAAGTGCACTGAGCGAATGTGTGTGTTTGTGTGCGAGCGCTGTTAGAAAACATATGATTTTTGTATTGGTTGCTCGCAATCAGTTGGTAATGTTTGCTCACACATATTTTGAGCGTAGATGTGAGCGTAAGCAGTTTTGTTTATGGTCGCTTGCGCATACATACATATGTACATATACACTTGGCCCACAATAGACAAGCATTCACATACATACACACACACACAGTCATAACAGCTCGTACGAAAATGAGGGCAAGCGAATGGAACGTAACAGTCCAAACAACAATAACCGCAACAGTAGCAACAGCGGAGTTTAATAATATTTGATTACATTATCGCATTTTCGCTTTTACTTATTTATTTTTTTTTTTTTCGTTTCATTTATGCATAAATTATGTTTTCTTTTATATTTATATCTTTTTACTAGGTATATACATTTTAGCACATGTGTTTTTTTGTGGTACCAGGAAAGAGGCCGTTATTAATCATTTAAAATATGACGCAGTTGAAATGGTTTACAGCTCGTGGCGGAACGTAAAAAAATGAAACGTGGCAGTTGGCTAGAGAAACTAATGGAAGTGGGAGGGAAAGACGAATTTCAATCTGTATGGGAGTGTGTGTGCTAGCTGAGATTAAGTGAACGGCATTTTGGCAACATACTTAATCAATTGCACTTTTTGTTTTCATTGTGAATTAATTAAATTTCGCTTTGGTCGCCGTCCTTGGCATGCTTTTGATTTTGCAATAACCGTTTGTGTGTCAATGCATGTGTTGTCTCTCTCTCCCTCTCTCTGTCTATATATACACGTATGCATATGCATGTGTGCGATTTATTTTAGCTGAGTGCGTTCTGCTTATTTAATGCACATTTTTTCGAGGCGCAGTGCAAAATTTGCATTTATGTATTTGATTGAAATATGTATGTATGAGTGAATCTTTGTGTGCCGTTATGCAAAATTACGGAAAGGAAGAAAAGCAAAATATAATGTTAAAACAACAGTGAAAGGTAAACTATGTGCGCACAACCACACAACGCTTACATTCATACATACATACAAATATATGATAATAATAGCTTAAACCGTCGCTAGATGGCGCTGCACATAACAAAAACCAGTTCACTATTGTATATTTGAAAAGCAAAAAGTGTTGCAAAACTTTGAAAAACAAGTTCCGACGCTGTCGTCGCCATCGCCGCCAACCGTCGCTGTCGCTGTCGCAGTCGCAGTCGCCTTTCGCTTGGCTGCTGCTTCCTTTGCATTTGGCTGATATTTGATTATGAAATGCGCCAAAGGCAGCGGACGCCGATGTCGGCGAGTGCAGCGAAAAAGCGTCAACGATATGGAAAAGTTTCCAAGCATGTCACATCCATTTTGTCTACTTAGTCACCCTTTGGTCAAGTGCGTCAGAAGTATATGCACATACATACATATGTATGTATGTATATGTACATGTAGGTTTAAATATTCTTGCATTAAATTCTCAGTTCATTTTTCAAAACAACAACAAAATGTCATACGAAAGACGGAAGTTTCGCATCGTAATTAAGACAAGTCGACAATATATATCGCATATTACATCACACAATATATGTGCATGTCTTTCTGTTATTTTCACTCATATTGAATGCCATTTTACACGCGCTGGCCAATTATTCAAGCATGTGTGTGTGCGTGTGTGTAGCCCGCAGATGACTTTGATTAGACAATAGAGCTTTTCGAATCGCTGTTGACCTCGTTGTCGACCTTACAAAGTGCCCATGTTACAAGCTACCCATCCATCTATCTATGTATCTACATATTTATCTACATATGTACATACATATACATATACATACACATAAGTATATACGAATGTGGCTACACGTGGGGCGACAGCCCTCTTTGCCGCCCTCTTCTGGCGTTTCACAGCTGAGCGACCGTTGCGTTTGAGTGGGTGCCTCCAGAAGGCGCACCTTCCGATACGGGGTTCGCTTTGAAGTGTAATACATATGTACTGGATGTTTGTACATATGTACATATATATGTTTATATATCATATCATAGACAAGAGAGGCCATAAGTTAAGGCGTTACACGCCTTTTTGCTAGCTGAAAACGTTTGATACCAAAAACTCAAGGTTTTTAAATCCGAAGAAGAATAAAAAAATTTACGCTTCGGCTAACCAAAACTTAAATACCCTCACCTACAATATATTTCTTCAAATAATTATAAATCTGATATTAATCATAGCATTACTAACGCATTTTTCTCTGTGTTGTTTTCCCTGCATATACCTTGAAATGAAATAATTTACAATACTAATTTCCCAAAGCAATTGAACATTTTTTTCTCTAGGTATCCACTTTTCTGCGTTCTGTATACATTTTACAACACTTACCTTTCGTAACTTTGTTAAAATTCCATTATTTTTGCTTTGTTGCTGCAATTAGAATAAGAGAATGAATGTTATTTAATTGAAGTTAAACAAGGTTATTTATACATATACATAGATATATTATACGTATATAAATTGCTAATTGAGCTCATATATACACGTGTACATAATAAAGTATTGTTTAGAAATCGCTATTATCCGTGCGCATTGAAAAGGGAATAAATTAATTTTAGTAGCCAAGCTAAATTATTCCATTGCCAGACTGAGGCACCCTGTTTCTTATACAATGCTCAACAAAGAGTTACATGGCTTCGCGCTCTCCTACTCTTACACATTTACTCTCCCTAGTATACACAAACACACACACACAGTCTGAGCGTCGCTCACATGTGCGCAGTAATTGTAAAAAGCAAAAACACAACCACACGATTAAATTGTAAACAAACGCATGGCATCAGCAACGGCAGCAGCTAAGGCAGCAGCAACAGCAGTCGCGTTTACTTTTGCTCTTCCTCTTTGTCTGTAACGTGAGCACGTGAGTACGTCTCGCTTCCACAAATAGTGGAAGGGGAACGTCTCCAGAAGAGAGGTAAACGATGACAGGACAACAAGACGCAACTACTTACAAATGAGTGTGAGTGTGCTTGCGTTTTATTTTTAGCCAAAAATTCAAAATGCTGCCGCTTTGCAAATCGAGAGCAAACGCACATTCACGTTCAGAACTGTGAGCTGAAGCAACGTGTCGAAGAGGAGCAAAAGCAAATGACCGCTCGGTCGAGCCAAGTGTGGAGAAGCTAAGCAAAGAGCCAATGCCTCCTGCGCATTGCACGATTTTATTTTTACTTGTTTTTCTTTCGCTTTCTTATTTTATTTGATTATGGAATACCAACAACTTTTTACACTCGTTTTTGCTATTCTGCATCACACACACACACGCACGTTCTCAGCTCTCTGCTCATTTACATTAACAACTGCGCACGTATAAAATTACACGCGATGCGACGCATTTTTGAATTCTTGAGTATGTGTATGTGTGTGTGAGTAGTTTTTATCGCTCTTTCATTGGGTTTTACAGTTTTACAGTGCCCAATACGGCAACAAAAGCTACAAATTGGCCCCAAAACAGCAACAAAATGAAAGCAAATAAATTTAGTTTATGCTTATCTATGTCTGTACGATTATATATGCATATGTATATGTATATAAATGTATATAAATGTACATAAGATAGCAACAGCTGTTTGTTGTCTGTTTTGGTTTTTGTTTTTATTTTGAGACTCGCATTTGATTGTCCATTTTTGGGCATTGTCTTATCTATGAAGCAGAATCGTGTGCACACACTTGCACACGTGTGTATATTCATAATAGGTGAAAGCTGTAATGAATCTAATTAGCATTTGGAATTAAAAGGCAACTGTAAAACGACATGGTTCGAAAATAAAATGAATCTGCTCAAATGCTTACTTTATTTAATAAGCTATCGGAACAATTTATTACTAGTTTACCGGATCCCAGCTTGAACCGGTTCGGCAAGCAATTGCTTCGGCTTAACCTTGACGATCAGAAATTTTATCTTTGTATGCGTGACGCTGATATTGCGCAACTGAACGCTCTATTTTTTAAGTTCTTATCGTTTCTGCGGGTTACACAAGGCAAGTGGCTGTTGATGTAAATCACTTAACCAACAGCACCAATAGCAACTGTTAACCAAAGCTCTAACTAACAACTGCACGATGTTGTTTATTCGTCTGTTCACACCTGCGACGTACCAGCTGATTGTGGCTCAAGTTGGCAGCGCCGCGCCTCAAAACTTGACAGCTTGATAAACGATCCACGTTTCATACGTATTTGTGTATGTGTAAGAGTGAGCGAGAAAACACCAACAAACGGCAACTTTACTCCACAATTAGAAAAAGTGTGTCAATTATATTACAAAAAAGAAAAAAACTCAAAGCATGTATTTTTCCTGACTTCACACACACTGTTTCTCCGACACACACATACACATACAAGTAAATAACTTGAGGGAGTGGAGCGAGCGAGTGAGTGAGTAAGTGAGTGAGTGAAGCAAGCAAACGAGTGAGCAAAAGGCAAGAGCGATATCTGAATTGCTTTTCTGTTATTTATTTGTTATACAAGCGTAACGCCAACGCTGAAGGGGGCGTCGCATAGTCTCCCAGAGTGTTTCTCTGTTTGTGTGCATTTGTGTGTGTGATCTGCAATTATTCAACTTTGACGCTGACTGAAAAGCTTAGCCGCGTGTGTCACTTCATATTATATATATATATATATATATATATATATATGTGCGCATGTGTGGGTGGGCAAGCTTATAAGCTTTGGCTATTACGCTGTTATTGCTGTTCTATGCCATGGTATTACGTCACCAACACATGCGCAACGCACAGCTGAGTGCCTGCAGCGACGTCACACAGTACGCATACATGCGCATGTAAATATACCAAAACGTACATACACTCATACATACATACATATATAGAAAATAAATACAAACCTTTATCTGAAATTGTTATTTTTTTAACACTCGTTTGCTGACTGCGTTTTGCTTTCAAAACTTTTAAATTTGCTTAATTTTGAATTGTGCCTCGCATTTTCAACTGTTCCTGTTTGTTTGCATTATTTTAACTCTTCACCGTGTTAGTTTTTTGTCGCCGTTGTTGTTGTTGCTGTCGCTGTTGGTGTTTGCGTATTTGCTTTGTTTTAGTTCTTAGCGGCTGACAACGGCAGCAGCATTCCAAATGTGAACGTAGCATTTGAATTTTCAACGGTTTTGCGTTGCGTTTTTAACGTGAATTGAATCGACTCGAACTGAACTGAACGGAATTGAAATGAATTAAAAGAGGACGTTCGCTTCACGCATACACAATCACAATAACGCACACACACAAATAAACAGGCGTCTCAGTCTCTTTCTCTCTCTTTTTGCTCGATGTCTATGTATGTACTCCACACGAGAACGCGAAACAAAACATAAAAGAAAACAAACGTCAGCAGGCAACTGCGAGAGTGTGGTAAACTTTGCACTGGGCACCTGGGCGACTGAACGCAAAAAAATTATTGAAAAACTTGTTCACTGCTTCGATTTTGATATTTGGCTATTCAGTTTTTGGTTTATTGACGCATATATATACACACATAAATATGTATATATTTACAATTTTTTGTCTCTTGCACTTTTGCTGTGGGATGCCAGCAGCCAGCCAAGTTTTAGCTTGCTTCGACGGAGCTTTTGCTTTGCTTTGCTTTGGCTGTATTTCGATTTTGGACCTGGGACGTTTTGATGTTGTCGCTTACGCTGTCGCTGCTTGAATGAACGTCAGCGTTGCCAGCAACTTTCTAAAACAGCTGAGCGAGCCGCAGCCCAGCCACACGACGGCAGCAGCGAAACACACGCCAGATAAATACATATGAAGGTATATACTTGCTTGCTTTGTTGATTATATATATGTGAGTGAGTTTCTTATGTACAAAGCGAACGTGCCTTATATACATAAATGTGTATGTTATATATTGAAACTACGCCGTTCATTTATTTATGTACACATTTATGTAGCTAGTTTAGGCATGGCAATACATATCACAGACACTACACTTTGCTGGCAACATATGTTGCCAAGATTGCTGCGTCAACAATGTTGCTGCGCATGTATACAAAAATCATATGGGATTTCCACTCGAGTGAGAGCAAGAGAGTCCAAAATATAAGAAGCAGCACTTCAAAACATATGCGCGACAAGTAAAAAGTAAATGAGAATGTATTGTGAGTTCACGTATGTACATATAAAGGCAAATTGTTGGTAGTGTTGGTGATAGCGTTTCAATAACAAAACCATGCAGACAACTCGAAATACACACTCGCACACACATACAGCGAACCCGTTTCCATATGTTTGATTGCTGCTGCTGCTGCGCTGCTGCGCTGCTGCCGTCGAGTCGTTAAGTGCTGATGTTGCTTTTGCTTTATATACTTATTCTTGTGTGCATGTATATATGTATATACGTATATGGCAGATTCTATTTTCTGAGTGTGCTGCGTGTGTATGTGTAATTGAGTACTTGTTGGCTCCTCACTTGCTTTGCAAAGCAAATAAACATCGCAAAAACGCATGCGCCGCCGTTAGCGACCCAGACAACAACGGCAACAGCAAGGTTCGATTCGATTGATGTTTGTTTCTTTTATTTCTTTCATTCTCCGGCCATTACTTTGGACTGCATCAACGACCTTATCAGCAACACCCACACCTACATACATACATACATAAGTGCGTACATCATTTGTTATTGTTTTTCTCATCGGCCAAGCTGATATGATATGATTTGAATGCGATTTCTGCTCTGCTCCGCAGCGCACAGTGCAATGCACACAAACAAAATCACTTAACGGCAAGACGAAGAGCTAACTTAAATGACCCAAGCAACCAAAGTCGGAGGACATACAACAGCGTCGCGACAACAAAGACTCAAAAAAAAAAAAGCAAAAACAAAGAGTACAAACAAAGAAAATGCTCAGCAGCGTGTTCTTGTCTGGGTTCTCTGGTCTGGCCCGACGTGCTCTCCTCCCAAACCAATACACATATAAACTAACACACATACACATTCATATATATATATATATGTACATATTTATTATGTCTGTCCTCTGCTGTGCCAAAACAGGAAAGCAAAGAAATTGTTGAACCCTTGAATTTGGGATTTGTCTGCCTTGTGCGCACGCACACACAGGCACATATTTGTATGTGTGCGTGTACGTTTAGAAGCATAACTATCTACATACTTATATGTCTGCATTTTTGTGCACAAAATATTAAATTATAAATTTTATTAGATTATTATTTATTAGTATTATTTAAATTTATCTTTTCAGGGATATTGATTTTATAATATTGAAATTATGATTTCAATAAGATTGAGTATATTGTATATTGATATTCGAAGCATTATCACGGTTGTATCTAAGACATATATTTACCAAGTTTTAAATATATGTAAACAATATATTGTGTTCCCTATGGTTTCTCGAATCT